ATAGCAAACCTTATTTCCAAATATCACCAGTTGCTAAATGGTAGCTCTATGGGTAGTGGTGGCACATGCCTTTAATCCTAGCACTTGTGAGGCTGAGGCAGGTGGAGCTCTATGAGTTTGAGGCCAGCCTGGTCTACAAAATGAGTTCCAGGACAGTCAGGGCTGTTATAGAGAAACGCTGTCTCAAAAAACAAAAACAAAAAAACAAACAAACAAAAAAAGAAAAAGTAAATCATAGCTCATGTGTGCATGTGTGCGTACCTGTGTGCGTGCGTGCGCACATGGGTGTGTGTGTTTGTTTATTTTTCTGGCTTGGGACCCAGTGCAGGATTCTGGTACTCATAGAAGCTTTTAGGTTTGAGATGAATTATTTTTTTAGTTAATAAATTTTATTTAAATTAGAAACAATCTTATTTTACATATCATTCCTAGTTTTCCCTCCCTCCCATCCTCCTAAGCCCCCCATGGACCCCCATCCCATTCCCCATCCACTCCCCAGGGAGTGTGAGGCCTTCCATGAGGGATCATCAAAGTCTGTCAAGTCATTTCAGGAAGGGCCTAGGTCCACCCCTGTGTATCTAGGCTGAGAGAGTTTTCCTCCATGGGAAATGGACTCCCAAAGTTTGTGCACTAGGGATACATACTGGTTCCACTGCCAGAGGCCTCATAGACTGCCCAGTGCTCCTAGCTGATACCCACACTCAGGGCACCTGATTTGGTTCTATGGTGGTCCCCCAGCTGTCAGACTGGGGTTCATGAGTTCCCACTTGCTTGGGTCAGCTGTTTTTGTGGGTTTTTCCAGTGTGGTCTTGATCCCTTTGTTTATCGCTTCTTCCTCTCTGAAACTGGATTCCAGGAGTTTGGATCAGTGCTTGGCTGTGGATCTCTGCTTCTGCTTCCATCAGCTTCTGGATGAAGGCTCTAGGATGGCATTTAAGGTAGTCATCACTCTCATTATAGGGGACAGGCATTTTAGATAGCCTCTCCACTATTTCTTCAGGTTCTAGTTGGGGTCATCCTTGTGGATCTCTGTACAATTCCCTAGTGCCAGATTTCTCTTTAAACCTATAGTGGCTCCCTCTATTGATGTGTCTCTTTTCTTGTTCTCCTCTATTCCTCTCCCCACTCAATCTTCCTGATCCCTCATGTTCTCCTCCCCCCCTCCTCTTCCTCCTCCCTTTCTCTTCCCCCTCCCCCATGCTCCCCATTTGTTCAGGGATTGAGCTGAATTATTAATCTGCTTCTAATCCATAGACTAAAGATGAATCAATATTGTAAAGAGAAGCTTTTTTCTTTGAGAGAAGCTTTCCTGCCCGCCTGGTTCCAGATCCGCATCAGTCCCAAATAAACACACAGGAGGCTATATTAATTATGAAGCTGTTGGCCTTGCTTGTCTCTTACTGGCTAGCTCTGCTTTAAGTAATTACCCCACAATTGTTAATCTATGTATGTCTCTTACCGGAGAATAGTTCCGGGCTCCTACCCCATGGCGTTACATGTTGACTCTCTTGTGTTTCTCCTACCCAGAATCCTTCTGGACTCCTAGTCCCTCCTATCTAGATTCCCTATTGGCCAGACAGTGCTTTATTGGCATAAGACTTCCCCAACACAATATCACTACCATGCCCAGGTTTCATAAAGCATAAAGTATTGTCTATCTTGCTGAATGACTCTTGATGAAACACATTGCTGTGTTGGGAAGGCTCATGTGAGAGAGAAATGAGAATGAGTTCCAGGCAGTAACTTGCTAGGAAGCATGGCCTTCAGTGAACAGCTCTCAGGACTCAGCTTCTGCCAACTCCCACAAGAGAGTGAGGATTGAATTTCCCCAAAGAAGCCTGTCACTGTAGCCTTGTGGGATGCTAAAGCAGAAGACTTGCCCTAATTCATAACTTGCAAACGTTTTTGAAATGCTGAAAGTACTTTGAGTTAAGTTAAGTCTGTGCTAGATATATAATAATAGGCAAGAAATATCTGATTCTGTCATTATTGCTTCTCTACAACATCCTCCCTTTTATGTTTGTTTTGAGATAGGTCTCTGATGAAGGAATTCCTTCTGTGTATATGTTGTCTTATTGGTTGATAAATAAAACACTGTTGGTCAATAGGGAAGCAAGATAGGTGGGACTAGGAGTTGAGGAGGATTCTGGGAATTGTAATCTAGAGTACAGAGTTGCCATGTGATCCTGGGAGGAGAGGGCACAAGTCTGGTCTTCTCGGTAAGATAATATCTTATAAAAATATATATTAGTAATTATGGGTTAATAATTAAGTCAGAGCTAGCCATTAAGAAACCATAACAAATGGCCAACAGCTTCATAATTAACATAGTGTCCCACATGTTCATTTGAGACTGATGCGGCTCAGGGACCAGGCTGGAGGGAAGACTGTACATTACAGGTTTCATTATGTATCCCTGGCTGGCCTGGAACTCACTCTGTAGAACAGGCTGGTCTCAGACTCACAGAGATCTTCCTGCCTCTGCCTCTCAAGTGCTGGGATTAAAGGTGTCACCACCATGCCCGCCCATCTATTCTCTTCTTTTGTAACACCTGCTAGATGAATCTTAGAGACTTTACATTTCTATGGTCTCCCTCCCCATAGCCATGATATGTGGACCCAGCATTCCACCTGAGGATGCCTTTCATTTCCACACCCCACCTGCTATGGAGCCCTCCAGTCTATTAGAGTACCTCTTTGAATCCTCAGGATTCTGGATCTCTGCAGCCTGTTGATAGAAGTTTCTGTCTTGCTCAGTCCCGCAGCCACTTAGTCCCAAATAAACACACAGAGGCCTATATCAATTATAAACTGGCTGATGACTCAGGCTTCTTTTTGGCTAGCTCTCTCTTAATTATTAACCCATTTCTATTAATATGTGTATCTCCATGGAGTCTTGGCTTACGAGAGAATGCAGAGGGCTACCACCACTCCATTTGTTATGTGCCTACAGGGTATTTAAAGAAACTGTACAACAGCAAGATGGGTCATATCCAAGTCTGCGGATATTTGATCTCACATCTAAAAAGGTCAACTAAAAAGCAAAGGCGTCTTTGGAAGGGATCTGTGTGGAGGCACAATCTGAGTAACATGTGCTGTCACTCAGCTTTTAAAACTCTAATGTCTTTTCTAGTAGGAAGACTAGTGAGAACAGATAGACCAGGGGAGAGACAACAGGCAGGCTCGGTGGAAGGGCATGAGGCCAAGATAAAGGAAAGAAGAGAAGGAAATATCAGCCTTTAGCCAGTCTCTTGTCTTCCCCACAGTAAGATCTGACACGGATCATTCTATATTAGCTCTTGACATGCAGAGTCAAAGTCTGCAAATACCATGTTTTATGTGCTGTGAGACAGGGTGTCTGTAATGGTTGACACATCTCTAGGCCCCTCCTAACCCTGCTCTGTTTGGGTTTGGGTGACACCTGACAGAGATTCAGTCAGTCTTTCTTGGAACTAAGAACTACTGAATTCTATTTTCTATTTTCATTTAGGTGAGTTTATTATTAGAAATTATAATGAATGGCCTGGATACATGGCTCAGTGGTTAAGAAATTATGATGAAGAAATTTTGCTCAAGGAACTGAAATGATTTCAATTCAGAAGGCCTAGTAGATGAGATGAGGGATCTCACTTCAGTGACTGGGAGTTGTTTCGGAGGTGTGTCAGTGAGTGTTCCGTCCATGTCACAAAATACCGGAAAGAATCAAGCTGTGCAGAAGAAATGCTCATTTTCACTGACAGTCCTGGTGTTTTCAGTCTGTGGTTCATGACTTTATTGCCTGTGGCCTGTAGTGAGGCAGAGTAGCACGGGGGAGTGGGTGGCAAAGGAAGCTGCTGGCATTAACGAAGATGTGCAAGAAATAAAACAAGATGATCTCCAAGAGCCCCTTCCAGTATTTCTCCGTGGCCTGATATCCTCATATTGACTCCTATCCCACCACATTCTAACAGCAGCATGGTGGGAGATGTCATTCTGTAAATCTGTCTCTCTTATTGGTTGTTGAATAAAGCACTTTTGGCCAATAGGGAAGCAAGATAGGTAGGACTAGGAGTCAAGGAGGATTCTGGGAAAGAGAGGCAGAGTCAGACACCATGTAGACTGCCAGAGTAAGAGGTCCAGACTCTTTTCTCCGGTAAGACAAATACTTAGATTAACAATTATGGGTTAAATACTTAAGTCAGAGATAGCCAGTAAGAAACCAAGCAAATGGCCAACAGCTTTATAATCAATACAGTGTCCTGTGTGTTAAATGGGGGCTGAAACTGAAGCAGGGCCCAGGCGGCTAGCAGGGAATGCTGTACGTTACAGCAGCACATGCTGGTCACAAAGCCTTTAATACACAGGCCTTCAAGGGACATTTAACAAACCTTTACAGGGGAGAACAGCTGTGCCTTCCAGTGAAAATGTCCATGGTGGGAGACTGGGCATGTAAGAGTATACAAGGCCTTGCTCCACTCTTCAGCCCTGTGTAACATCAAGCATGGTAGGCCTTACCTAGCATTCTCAAGACAGAGCCCAGAGGATCAGAAATTCAAGGTCATCTTGGCTTCATAGTAAGCTAGAGGTCAGTCTGGACTATGACCTCAAAAGAAAAAAGCTTCCACAGAGCCAAAGGCTGTGTCATGGAATGGTATTAGTGAGGTAAAGTGTATAGTATGTCTGCTTTTAAAGTCTTAGTATTCTAGGGTGAAACCTTAACTATCAAGTAGAATATGCTCCTTTACTCTCCTTTAGCTAGTGTGGTAACATATGGCAATTATACTTCTGCTTCCTCTAGTTCCCAGGATTGCAGTACAAAACCTCACTTGTATTGTGGTGGAGGTGGGAGACATGATTGGCACTGGAGAAGCCAGGGAGAGAAGACAGTGATAACTTACTGTAGCCTTTTCACTTACGGACTTTTCCAGGATTCCATTCAGTTAACGTCTTTTGTGGTATCTGAGTACCTGGATATTGTGCTGCTTTCGTAAACACTTTAATTTTTTTTTACAGATTTCATCTATTTTCCCCTGTTGGCAGCTGTCTGAAGTATTGATTTACTTTTCTGGAGATGGTTTTTGGTTTGTCCTGCCACTCAGGGCTCACAGATAAAGTGATCTTCCAATTACAGCTTGCATCAACTTCAGGGACCATTTGAAAGTCCCTGGGGGACAGCAATCCTAAATGTGAGTGAGTTTCCCTCTTTTATTTTATAGCCAGGGGAAGCTTAATCACTTTACAAGGCACCTAGTCTTTGCCGTAATCCAGTAATATTCCCTGGATTCTTAGTGGCTCTAACATTGAATTCCTTTAATCTAGTGTTCGTGTTTCTTCACACCTACTCCTGACTTCTATTAATTTCTGTGCCCAAGCAAAGCAGGGAAGAGAAAAGTAGCAAATCCTCTCACGTAATTAGGTTTAGGTGGGAGGAAGACAGCTCAGTAACTCCCCTGCCTCCTGAAATGAGGTGATTACAAACGTACCCATCAGTCAATCACTGTGCAAGGTAGTTCTGAGGTAATATTCGGTGAGCCTCTGCTTCATGCAGGGAAAGCATCTACCAGGCTCTCTACACTTCAGTTCGCAAGCCAGTCCGTTCATGTAGAAACACTCTTCTATGAACGCCCACCTGAGCTGCTGACACTAGGCTTTGAATGACGTCATGCTTTCCAGGGTGAGAAGCATAAGCATGAGAAACTGGGAACCGTCCTGAGGCATTCCAGGACACAGGGCTTTACTGCTATGGAAATCACAGGCACTGGAAGTAGGAAGCCGTTCCCGATTTCACCAGTTACTATGGCACAGTGTCAGATGATGAGGAGCAAATAGGGCCTCCCTTGTTACTTTCCCGGGGCCCCAGCACCAGAATCCTGGTGGCTTAAAACAACAGACATGCACTTGTCTTGGACCTGGCATCTAGAAGACTGAAATCAAATTATCAGTAAGGCCATCCACGCTCTCCAGACACTGTCGGGAGAGCGCTTCTTTGCTTTTTAGCTGGTGGCTATCACTGTGAGCCTATGACACTCCTTGCCATGCGGCACATCATTTTAGTCCCTCTCAGTTATTGATGGAGCTCTTTCTCCCTGTGCGCATGATCTTTTTTAAGGAGCACCCCCTCTTACCCTGCCTCAGGTATGAAAACTATTTCTATGAAAACTGTTTCTGATTAAGGTCATTCATGGGCCCCAAGACTTAAGACTTCAACAGATCTTTTTGGAGACCCAACTCGTATACCTGTGGATAGTATGCTGTCATAAATGACCACCTTTGGGGTAAAGGAGTTCCGTACTCATTGAATGCATGCTTGCCTACTGAATTGCTTCTTTACTGGTATTAAAGAATGGGAGTTATGTCCTCAGATCTTAGACTAAAGACAGATCTACTGACGTCACCAAGTGTTTGGTTTGCAGCAGCATACACCTTCCCTTGGAGGTACTTTCTGTGCCTTAGAAAGTAAATTTAGTTTTCTCCCCCAAAAGCATGACTCTGACAGATATCCAAAGATACTAATTGAATACATATCCTTGTAGAAAGAAGCCTTTTCCTTGCCAGCCACTTTGATTTTTCTCCGCCTGTCGCCTGAGCTCTGCCGCATTGTAGTCCCCAAATAACACACAAGACGATGTATTAATTATGAAGTGGTTGGCCTTGCTTGTTTCTTACTGGCTAGCTCTGACTTAAGTATTTAACCCATCTAAGTATTTCTCTTACCAGACAGACATCTTACTTCTCTGGCGGGCTACATGATGACTCCCTGTGTTTCTCCTACCCAGAGTCCTCCTGGACTCCTAGTCCCACCTATCTTGCTTCCCTATTGGCCAACAGTGCTTTATTTACATATACACAGGACTTCCCCATCATATCCTATGCTAGGCTGTCCTAGATGCCAGAGGTATAATGATACATTTTTAAAAATTGCTTTTCTTCCATTTACTTGGAACAAAGGGCTTATAGGAAAAAAATACCCATACTATGAAAGATGCAAAAAAAAAGAGATTACACAAACTGTGGAACTATAGAAATGAAATTTGTTAGCATGGTAGGGATGTGTTGAAGGTAGGATTTACATTGAAATCTACTTTGCTTCCTGGCAGACAATGCCAGGATGCAGAGAGAATGGCGGATGATAGGCATACGCATGTTATAGTGGTCAGGGACTGTGACTGTCACAGAGATGAGTGGTGGGACGACACAGTCAGAATCCAGTGGTGTGATATATCAGCCTCAGTTAATGGAAATAGGTTCCTTAGACACAGGGAAGACTCCCATGTACCTAAAAGCATTGACAATCATATCCATGTACCAGAAAGAAAACCATGAGGGGTAGAGGTTGAGGAAGAGTCTAGGATTGGGAAGACAGATCATTTGGGAGGCTCTCACCCCTGTCCAGGCCAGATGTGAAGGACATCTAAAGACAAGCAGGTGGCAGTTGTAGAGAGGAACAGATGGCATCTACAGACGGTTTGGTGACAGAAATGGAAATATTTGCTGGTACCTAGGAAAGGAGAAAAGTGTGTGTGTGTGGGGGTCTTGACAGGTCAAAGAGATATCAAATCTAAACTGCAGTTCAGTTCAATGCCAGGCATAGTCAATCATACTAAGGAGTGTAAGAGCCAGGATTTATGGTTAAAGAACTATTCTTTACTCCACTATGACAGAAAAATTCACAAGAAACTGTTTTAGGATGTTTGGATTTCTCCCTTTAAATGCCTAGATTTTGAGAATGATAAAACACTCCTATTGGAGCCTATGTAACAATCTGATGACACAAAACTTGTCTACTTTTGCTTAAGTCCAGGATGCAATTTGGCACTGTGAAGCATCATCTCTTACCACACAGGGACAGTTCATTATTTATGTAGAGTCGCTGATATTTACTTCTTAGAATGCCTGATTTACTGTCACAAAAGCTCTCCATGCTGAATGAGCCCTAGTTTAAATATGCACACCTGCCAGGTAAGCCTCAGAAGGAAATGGCTGACTTCCATTTGGAGGACTTTGGAAGAGGCACACAACATACATTTTCTTCAAGAATCCTGGCCACAGTTAAGTTGATTTTCAGACCTACACTAACTCGGATCAGTAGATCCTAACTGCTTCTTATTCCTGACAATATCATTCAATCTTCTAAGACTGAAGAAAGTGGAGTAGGAGGAGGGGACAGAGGAGTCACCTACATGAGACCTTTGCCATTTAGAGAATATGAAGTCAAAGGGAAGGGGGAGTCAGACCTTGAAGAACACTCTCTGAAAGGGCTTATCTATGCAGGTTGTGGTGGTGAATGCTTTTAATCCCAGACAGAGGCAGGCGGATCTCTGAGTTCAAAGCCAGTGTAGTCTACAGACTGAGTTCCAGGACAGCCAGGGCTACATAGAGAAACCCTGTCTCAAAAGCAAACAAACAAAAAGGTGTATATTTGTGTGTGTGTGAGGGGAGGTAGGTATATCTGCTCAACTCATGTGGCTTCTTTCCGATTTCCTGCTTTCTTAGTCAGCATTGATTGAACCAATGATTGCTGACTTACAGTCAATAATGGAATGGATAAACTGGATTAATCAGAAAAAAAAACATCCTAAGAATCTGAAGAGCAACAACACAGGAAGTAATAAGTGAAGTGTTTGCAGAAGCAGAAGCTAGCAAGCAAACTGAAAAAGGTGAAGTTTTTATTTTGTTAAGAAACCCAACAAACCAACAACACATGCTGTAGCTCTCAGGAGCAGAAAGAAAGCAGGTTGGTAGAGAGCCGTGGATCGACAGCAGGGACCCCCACCCCACCTCCCAGCCAGACTGTTTCTCAAGCTGCCTTTGTCTTAGGTGTCTTTTCTGTGAACTTGCCATCCACACAAACCATCACAGTAACTCCCTGTTCTTAAACTAGCCAGTCTGACTCCTTGCAATGAGCAAAGGCAGCTGAGTGAATGCCTAAGGGCACCCGAGGCCATTTTCCAACCTGTGTCTCCTAAGCCCTCAGGAGCTCTCAAGGTACTTAATAATTACCGCCAAAGAATGTAGGAACCAAAAAATGAAGACTTGTTCAGATCTACTCAGCTCCTGGGAATGGGGGTGGGGGTGAAAATCAGACCCAGTGCTGTCTGGTTCCACAGAACTAAAGGTTGTCATTTTATTTTCAACTTTACGTTGTCCAGGTAGACTTGAAGTTGCGAGCCTTCTGGCTCAGTTGGCCAAGCATGAGGCTTCTAGGTATGTGCTACCTTGTTCTGGTTTTTGTTTGTTTTGTTTTGTCCAAGTATGTTATCTACACTATCTAATTTTTTAAAAATAAGATACACAATGAACCCAAATTCCCTTTAAAACCCTCTTCTGCTTAAAATTATAGATACTGTGGAGTTTATGTTGGCACAGGCTCTATAATTAAAATTTTTAGTAGCAAATAGAGAATTCTCAATAGAGGAGTATAAAATGGCAGAGAGACACTTGAGAACATGTTCAACATCATAAGCCATTAGGGAAATGCAAATCAAAGCAACTCTGAGATATCATCCTACTCCTGTCAGAATGGCTAAACTCAAAAACACCAATGAAAACTGACAATGGCCCAGGGTACATTAGTTCTAAATTTAAGGATTTTTGTAAAAAATTTGGCATTACCCACAAAACAGGAATTCCCTTTAACCCTCAAGGACAGGGAGTTGTAGAGCGAGCTAATCAGACCTTAAAAAATATGCTCTTTAAGCTTTCTTCCGAAAGCGAAACCCTGTACGCTCGCAAAGGCAAGCATCGCCTACTTTTAAATCATGTACTTTTTGTGCTCAATTTTCTCTCTCTGGACAACAATGGCCGATCAGCCGCTGATCGGCTCTGGCACCCTTCCACCTGTGAAAACTTTCGACAGGTACTTTGGAAGGATGTGCACACGGGCCAATGGCTCGGTCCTCACCCAGTCCTTATCTGGGGAAAAGGACATGCTTGCGTTCATAACACCAGCAATGGAGAAACGCGCTGGCTTCCAGACAAACTGGTCAAGCTTTATAACCCTCCCAGGGAAAGAGCCCCTGAGGAATCTCCTGTTTTCTCTTTCAGATGCTGTTGATAACAAAACTCCCAGTGAAGATAACACCACATCGCCTGCTCCTTCTTCCATTTCTCCTTTTGAATTTTAGTTTCCCTCCTTACATCCCCCGGCCAGACAGCTTAATTCTGGCCCACCACCACTTAATCCCCTTTGTTCACGCAGTTGGTGCAACCTCCTGCATATCCAGTTTACGGCTGCAGGAAAAAGGTTCCTCTGGGAAGGTTCCCGAGGAGCTTACTGGGGTCTACACCTATATGTTTCTGGCACGGACCCAGGCCTCACCTTTTCCATTAGACTTTTGAAGGAAATCCCTTCCTTTCGCCCTATTGCTGTTGGCCCCAATCCTTTTTTATACCCCTCTGGTGGTGGCTCATTCCTACCGAAGGCTGCTGCCCCTCGCCCTCGTCCTAATCTCGATTCTCCAGCTCCAGCTGCCGCCACCACTGTTCATCAACCCACCATGCCCGCCGCCGGTCCAGTCTCCACCGCGGACCTCATCCTTCAGATGGTCAACGCCTCGGCCCAGGCACTCTCCAACACCACCTATGAGCGCTGCTGGATTTGCTATTCGCCTATCTCTCCATTCTACGAAGGAATTGCAGCCTTCGGCTCACCCATCTACACCAACAACACCAATCTGCTTTGCTGGGGCACGCAGCCACAACCATGCGGCATGACCTTAGGACAGGTCGTGGGATCTGGACTCTGCCTTTTGGGACCACGTATGCTTCCCCCCCACCCCGCTGTTAGAAGCATGTACTCAAACCATGCAAGTTGCTACTCATGCTTCCTTCCTTATTGCCCCCAACCTCACCTTTTTTGCTTGCTCCACAGGGTTATCCCCACATATTATTGTAGATGTTTTTCTTGCGCACAAGGACTACTGCGTCCTTGTTGTACTCGTGCCCAAATTGACTGTTCGCCCTGAATCTGATTTACTGCCCCAAAGTGGTCCAACTGTAACTCTCTCTCGCCAAAAAAGAGAGCCGGTCACTGCCCTCACATTAGCCATATTGGTTGGTCTGGGTGCAGCAGGTGCTGGCACAGGAATTTACTCCCTAATCCACACAAAGGACTCTGTTAATACTCTAACCCGCACTGTTATTAGAGACGTAGATGAGCTAAAAAGAGGTTTAGATTACTTAGAACAAACTGTTGGTTCCTTAGCTGAAGTAGTACAACAAAACCGCCGTGGTCTCGACCTCTCCTTTTTGCGGGAGGGGGGAGTTTGTGCCGCCCTTAAAGAGGAATGTTGCTTTTTCAAAGACAAATCAGGATTAGTTAGAGATAGTATCAGAAGAGTTGAACAGAGTCTGGAAGAAACAAAAAGAAATTTGGATCAAAGTGAATCTTGGTACAAAAATTGGTTTTCTACCTCTCCCTGGCTATCGACTTTGCTGCCTAGTTTGTTAGGACCTTTTATTGGCCTTATGTTACTTATTTCCTTTGGTCCTTGGGCATTTCGCCGCCTTACTGGTTTTGTTAAAAATCAGGTTGATGAGGCTACCAAAAATTCAGTTCAGGTTCACTATCAGCAGCTCTCTCAACAAGACCCCGAAGAACCTGAGGCTGTAGACAAACCTACATTCCAGCCTTTGAGCTTTCAGGAGTTTGAGTACCTGGCCAACCGCCCGCGTTCACTCTGCTCCAGGCTGTGGAGATGCTTAAGACGGGGATAGCTTGGTGCCAGAATCTGGGAGCAAACATGGCTCTCTAAACATTGCCGGCAAAAACTTAATTCGTATCCTCTCTCGCCATGTCCAGAACTGGAAGCCCACCAGGTAACCTAAGACAGGCACTCCACCCAATTGCTCTCTTCTTTTACTATATAGAAAAGGGGGAGATGTTGGGGACTGCTAGAACCTTGAACAAAATGGAGTCTGTCAACCGTTTCTTGGCCTTCCGCCTACGTGACTGCGAGCACACATGCCCTTGAGACAAAGGAAAAGGCTAACCATTAAAGTTAAATTTACACAGGGCAGCCCACCCGCCTAGCCAGAGGGAAGTACCCTTACAGAGTAATTGTCTTTGTTAACAAAAGGTTAAAGTGTTCTGTTGTATACTTCCTACCCCTCCCTAATTCCTGCACCTGACTTACGCTGACAAGCATTTGTGGAATGCAACTAATGACTGATGGAAAATTACAGCTTTGTCTTTACCGTATTTGGTGTATATTTGAATTGAGACTTGATTGACATGCTTGTACCACCCCCTGAGGTCCTTCCTCTATAAATTCCAGCGCGCCCCCAAAAATAAAGGCTCTTGATCAGCGAACGTTGTCTTGAGCCTGATTTCATTAACCTCTTGAAGTTCACTTTCCAGATCGGATCTGCTCGTGAAGGCCCACTAAATTAGTAGCGACCCTCATCACCTCACCCCCGCAGGTCGGGGGTCCCTTCCCGGGGGTCGCAGACTAGGACATTTTGACATGCTAGAGCTTTTCAGTATGACACTTTAAATATTACCCACTAGCATAGACACTCATGCTTGAAAGATCAGAAAAAATATTATAGCAGCTTTATTATGTAGTAGAAAATTATCTCACAGCCAATATTTTAACCAAAATAATCTCTTTCTCCCCTACTCCCTCCTCCCCCTCCTTACCATGCATTTCTAAGTAATATATAAGTCAAGACAATAAGTAAAATTATCAAATAAATAATTTGTAGTCAACTTCTTGTCTCCTAGTGTCTCTCAATATTTCTCCCCTCTAAATGTTTTCTAAAAGGGCAGGAAGTGAAGAAAGTAGAGAGAAGATAAAGGACACTCATGGTGATGTAATACTCGGAAATTATCTCTTACATTCCAAGAGTATGGAACTCTTGCTGGCCCTCACAGCCAAAGTTAATAATATACCTTGAGGTCATTTAAGACTTAAGACTGATATCCTGCTGTGCACTCAAACTCTGCCTTTAAGAAAACAATGTAACAGTCAACCTTACTTGCCCTAAATTTCCCATGTAATCTACTTTTACAACCTAAGCTAAGCCATAGCTGTAATTTTAAGTTATGAAGTCTTCCACACTCTTGGCCCAGAAAATTCGTGCATACCATTTGCTGAAAGTGGCAAATAGAGAGGTTGAAACTAACATCTTAGGATCTACCACAGAAGTAAAAACAACTATTTATGGTTACTGGTTGATAAATGACATCTGTTATCTGGGTCAGTTGTGATCAGTTGGAGCCAGAAGACTTAATCCCTTGTAAAATTCTGTTAAAGATTTCTGTGAAGTGTCCCACTCATTCCCCATGTGATGGCTTTTATACTGTTCAGTTAACAGAACTAAGAGCCCTTTGTAAGGGACAGACATACAAAGCACATACACCAGAAAGAGACGCACAAGGACAGAAACAGACAGCTATAAACAGGGACACTTAGAGACATAGGGACAAACAGATTCACAAGACAGCCTCGGGGCAGGCACAGACAGACTCATACCTCAGACAGACGGAAGATGAAAGACACCGGGAGCATGAGAGAGAGAACTCAAATCTGGAAAAGCTTTTGCTTCAACGATTCCAAGGAGAATTCTTTACTTCTTTCTTTAACGAGACACCCATGCACTATTGGTAACTTGGAACTAATCACCAATGCATAAAAATATGACTAGGAAAATGACAAGAGTGGACAAAGCTGGGAAACTATTTTTAGAAACTAGAAGGCCACATGAGCATCAGACCTCTGAATATGGAACACATTAGACTGGTGAGTTGGGGAGGGATGGGGCAAATGGCTGCAGAGAGAACCAGAAGCCAATGGGTCCCGTCTGGCTTTTCATAGAGCCAGACAACAATCCTCCTCTGGAGAAAGTGAAACTAAGAAGTTTAGACAGGTACTAGAGTAAGAGTTGACAGAAAGAATGAAAAGACCCTAGTCTTCCCACTTCCTCTAGGACTCCAGAGAGCTCTCGGTTGGAAGAGCCAGTAGAGTCAGAGAGGAGAGGGAAGGGAAAGGAAGAAAGGGAAAGAGAAGGAAGGAAAGGAGAGAGTTCCTGGAGGGGGTAGGGTGTGCCTTTAGTTCCAGACCTTGTGAGTCACCCAAAGAACATCCACACACTCACACCTGACTGTCCTTCACAGATCTTCTCCAATTAACGAGCTTTATCCATGCATTCATGCACACAGAGTGTTCAGTCAGGCTTAAAAAATAGTGTATTCCTGTTTTTAGTTATATTTCCATGTGGGTCTATGTGGGGGTGTGTACATATGAGTGTTGATGGCTTCAGAGACCAGAGAGCAAGAAGGGAAACAGTATGCTTGAATGACAAAGGAACTCGCTAATAGACTATGGAAGTCAAAATAGCAGAGAACACAGAGATGGATAAAATATCCATAAAAATAAGAAAAACTTTCATAAGTGGGTGTGGTGGTGTGAGTCTTAATATCAGAAAGAAGAATTTCAACTTCAAGACAAGCATGGGCTACACAGGGAGACCCTACCTTAAAGAAAAATCCCTCAGAACTCACTAAGATAAACACATGTTCATAATAAAAAGGTCCATTGAAAGTCCTGTATAAATTTTTTTGAAAATAATCTCAATAAAGTATGAGAGCCTAATTTAATCAAATTTGGGTCAAAATGAAAACAAACATTGAAATCTTACAAAGGGTTAAAGAAAAGGACAATTGGTTGCATACAAAATATTCAAAATCAGGATGATTTAAATCCAGAATTCTAGATGAAAGTCAAACTTTCCCTTTAAAATTCTAAGAGAAATAATGTTCAGCTTAGAACTCTTGACTCAGACTTTCAATCAAATGTAAAGGTGGATTGAGGAAAATATTAGACAAATATGTCCCATTAAATCAAATTCTCCCGCTCCCTTTCTTTAGATGCTGTTAGAATATGAGCCTTTGCAGCAAAGAATGAAGTCGGATGGGATATTCAATACGGAAAGGTAAGGGGAGTGGGAGGATCATGGCTTGAGTGTCGAGGCGGAAGGCTCCCAGGGGCTCATCTGGTAGAACTCCCTCATAAAGCACTTCTTTGGAACATGCAGTGATGAGATAAAAATTGAGCAGATGGAAGTAAATACTGTTTACAAAGTCATAAAAGCAAACAAGCATTTTATGAGAAAGTTACTAATACGTGTTCTGGCTAGTTTTAGGTCAACTTGACACAAGCTGGAGTCGTTAGGAAGGAAGGAGCCTCTGTTGAGAAAATGCCTTCATAAGATCAGCCCGAAGGGAATTTTCCTAATTAGTGATTGATATGGGAGGGCCCTGCCCATGGTGGGTGGTGGCATCCCTGGGCAGGTGGTCCTGGGTTCTATGAGAAAGCAGGCTGAGCAAGCCCTATGGGAGCAAGCAAGTAAGCAGCATTCCTCAGTGGCCTCTACATCAGCTCCTGCCTCCAGGTTCCTGCCTTTAGTTCTGCCATGACTTCCTTCAATGAAGGACTATGATGTGGAAGTGTAAGTTAAATAAATCCTTTCCTCCTCAAATTTTAGTCATGGTGTATTATCACAGCATGCATATTAACTATGACAATATGCATATTTATATGCATATTTACAATCTCTGCTTCCAGGAACAGGTAAAATTCCTGTTTGAAAATGCAAATGAGGCTGGGCTTTGGTGGTTCATGCCTTTAATCTCAGCACTCGGGAGGCAGAGGCAGGCGCATTTCTGTGAGTTCGAGGCCAGCCTGGTCTAGAGAAAGAGTTCTAGGACAACCTGCAAAACAATACAGAGAAACCCTGTCTCAAAAAATAAAAAACAAATGTAAATGGTATATTGATACCCTTCAAGACTTTTAGAAAATAGCCAATCAGAAATCTTCTCAGGGTGTCCAGTGGGGAAACAGGCTAGCCAATTGCACTCTGGCTAGTAATATAGTATTGCTATATGATAAAATGTCATTCAGGATGGAAGGAGAAGGACGCAAGAAGGGTACTTGGCTTGGAAGGAGGAGTTGTGACCATTATTTTCAAGTAACAACAAAATTCTGCAAATGAGGCTACTTCTGGGGGACATCACTCACTCAATTACACACAACAGAAAAGTTACAGTCATGGTTAAGATCATAACAATGGAGGATTCTCTTTCATCATTCAAGTGGGCCCTACGTTCTACCTAAATATATTTGTAAGAGAAGCAGAGAGAGACAGAGAGAGAGAGAGAGAGAGAGAGAGAGAGAGAGAGAGAGAGAGAGAGATCACATACATACAAAAGAGAGACAGTAAAAGACAAGACTGGAATGATAGAGCCGCAAGCCAAGGTATGTTGGCAATCATCAGCCACTGGAAGAGGCAAAGAATGGCTTATTCTCCAGAACCTCCTGAGAGCATGCCGGCTTGTTGATATCTTGACTGTGTGCTTCTGGTTTCCAGAATATCGAGAGCATACATGCAAGCTACAATAATTTATCATAACATCCAAATTGGAATAATGTGGAGACAATCATTAAAGTCCTCTCTCTCCCATCTCCTAATCCAGTCCTTCCTCTGTCAACACATCTCCCTCTTTATCATGATCTCTCTGAGTCTCATATTTATCTTTCCACACATAGGAACATGTGTGAGCTGGCAGGCAAATATTAATTGTCTACTAAAGAAAAAAATTCTCACAAATAGTTTTGTTTGAACTTACAACAGATGCTATGTTTCCCCCATAAATATCACATACAACTCGGTAAGGCACCATTAATGATGGACTCTTTGATTTCTCGTTTTTAATTTTGTTTTGCTTTGTTTGAGGCAGGGTCTTACTATACAGGCCCGGCTAGCCTGGAACTTACAGAGAACCTACTGCCTCTGCCTCCCAAATGCTTGGGATTAAAGGTGTGTGACACCACAACTGGCTAAGTCTTCGTTTTATTACATATGACAGTGCTAGAAACATTTCTCTCCTCAATAGTTGTGTAAGCTTGCTGAACAGGAGATCTAGTTTTGAATGTGATAGATTCAATTTAAAAACAAAAACCTCTAAAAGACTGCTTAAATTTCTCTATGGTTTTGAAATTATTTTAAACTTGTAAAAAGCACAGTGGCTAGGAACTCATACAGTTCTTTTAGAGGACCTTGGTTCAGTTCCCAATCCCCACATTGGTCAGCTCACAACAGGTCCAAAACCCAGTTCCAGGTACTTTGACACCTCTGGTCTCTAAGATCACCCACATGTATCACACACGTATACACACTCTCTCTCTCTCTCTCTCTCTCACACACACACACACACACACACACACACACACTTTTTTGGGGGGACAGGTTTCTCTGAGTAGCCCTGGCTGTCTTGTACCTCTGTCTGCAGAAGAGGCTGGCCTTGAACTCAGAGACCTGCCTGCCTCTGCTTCAGAAGTGCTGAGATCAACGACATGCATAAATACCACCTGGCAGTAGTAAAATAGTTTTTTGTTTTTGTCTTGAGACAGGGTTTTTCTGTGGCTTTGGAGGCTGTCCTGGAGCTAGCTCTTGTAGATCAGGCTGATCTTGAACTCACAGAGATCCTCCTGCCTCTGCCTCCCTCCTGAGTGCTGGGATTAATGGCGTGTGCCACAACCACCTGGCAACAAAATATTTTTAAAAGCATAAATATAGTATAGAATTAATATCCACTTGCGGTAGCACCAGTTCCCCAAAGGCAGAAGTAAGACATGTAAGTGTGCCTATAACCCTAGCTAATGTGCACCAGTGTCCTTCCATCTCTACATCTGCGTATCTCTATAAAATAGGAATTGACTCATGAGATTATGCAGACCAAACAGTTGTGCTATCTGTTGTCAGCAAGCCAGAAAAGCAGGGGATTTCAATCTGAGCCCAAAGCCCTGGCTGGACTTTTTCTCTCCTACTGGTTGGAAAGGGCAGAGAAGGACAGCCTGGTTCTCTGGAGGCTGTCCAAAAGTCTGTTTTAGGCAACATGATAACCTTTAGACACACTTTCTGAGATGAAAAGCAAGCTCTTTGCTTTTCCATCCATTGTTCCATATATTTTAACAGGATGGTCAAGTAGCCTGCGGTGGAACCATAATAGGATAGTCAGACACCCCTGGGTGTCCTTGCCTACTCATTTATTTAAATGAGTCAATAAAGCTCCAAATATTCCAAGTCTATGAGAGGGACAGGATGAGGCCATATTGCTACCTAACAGTACGGACCTTTAAAATGTTGAGATTTGAATTCAGGAGAAGATGGATGGCCCTCTCAGCCATAAAGGGGATTTGCCTTCTATCTGATTTTCTTCAGGGCCTTAAAAAGATTAGATAATGGCTGACCCATTGTTGAGAGTGGATTTTTAATCATTTCACTAACTCAAATGTTGATCTCTTCAGAAAACATCCTATCCACACACAGAAATCTTGTTTCCCACCTCTCTGAGCATTTCCTTAACCTGTCTGATTGACACAGAACAGTTATCATCCTCATGCCTTTCAGATGCTGCTGGTATCAGCATCTTAGTAACCGTGGTACAATGATGGAAGCCAGGAAGTATTTTTGGTTTAATCTACTAATTGATCTTGAGGATCTCATCAAAACACTGTGGCTCAAACATTTAAATATGTCAGCCCATGGGGACCATTCTCATTCAGACCCCCACACACATATTCACCATGGCATGTGTTAGACTTCAAATGAAAACCTGTACACATACATATACACAAACATTGTACACACGCCCATACACAGCACTACATACTTTTTTTTAAAAAGACTACCCAAGCAAACCTGCTGTTTCTAGTGTTTTTTACTTCAGAATTACCACCTGGTTAGATATTCAAGACTTCACTCCCTTCTCCATCCCCTTTTGATATTCAAACCATTATCCTGTTATACATAATTCAACAAGCTCCATCATATTGCCTAGTCATTCAATTTCCTGTCATTCCCATTAAAATCACTGTAGCTCACCTACTTGTCCAGCTTCAACCCAAACTGTGAGTTCTTTCTTGCTCCCCAAACTCCTGCCTGAACCATTGTCTTAATTATAATTTTCACTCTGGGTTTGTTTCCCCTCTTCTACTAATGCCTACTCACCATTCAAATCTAAACACAAATGGCACTTCCTAAAGGGGGAAATGTATCATTCAAAGTTTGCATTTATAAACAAAAGCTTTTTCTGATAAAAACAGGAAAGTTAGAGACTGCATTAAAAGGAGATTTGTAGCAATGAGATGGGATGCTTGTGTCTGCTATTGAAGGAAGTACTATCATGATAAGCCATCCTGCCTCCATCTTAGGCTTGAATGCTATCTCAGAGTAAAAAAAGAAAACTAGACTCATTACTGTTTCTCAAGGATTGGGCTATGCCCCACCTATTAACTTAACTACAAATGGTTGTGTACTGACTGTACCAGGAAATGGCAATCATGCCTTTACTTCAAAAGGTTATTAAGACTACATTGTCATGACCACATTGTTACAACTACCTTACAATCTTGTTATTATCACCTTACAATCATGTCTTTGTTTCAGGAGGCTGTTATGACCAACTTGTTATGCGTATGTTCTGAGTAACACAACCTGTTTGCCTGCCAAATCACCCATTTGGAAACCCCTACTCCTGAACTATAAAAACCCTTCTCCTACCCATGTCCAATGCTGATCTCTTGAACCCTGCTTTTAGGGAGAGACAGTCCACATACACAAGTTTTAAAAAGCTTCCTTTAATTAATCTGGCCATGATGATTTGTGTGGGTGTCCCTGTCCTCTAATCTATGGGATTATCAGCACATAAGAACAACACGTTAATCACACACAGAAGCTGATCTGGAGCAGAAACTGCCACCACAGTCACTATGTGCTACTTGCTAAAGTCTGACCACTTCTAGGTTCTATAATCCTGAGCAACAACAGGGTATCACTTCCTATCTGGACAGAATCTGGAAAAGATGCGCTAGACTTTTTTTTTTAATCATCTGAGATGAGAGGCAGTTTCTGATTCCCTGGAATGTCAGAAA